TAATGATATTGGCTCTGCGGACTTCTTTGCACGCGGTCCAATAAAAAGAACTTCACAAACAATAAAACTTAAATTATCGTTAATTGAGGCTCTCTTTTTTCGTTCATTATTTCTAGCTTTGTTATTGCTTTATTCTACTTGATAGCACCTTTCTTTTTCTACGTGATTTGATGTGTTCTTTGGAAGAGATGGTTGTTGAGAATCTCACTTTGAGTTTATTAAATTTTTGAGTGTTTAGAATTTGGTGACAGAATGTTTCCTAATATTACTAGAAGAAACTAAGTCACAGACGATGTTTAGGAACATTCAACGCATTTATAAATTACTTTAAGCTTTCTTATAACTTAGAAATTGCCATTTAAATGAATCCATTTAAAGAAGCAAAAGTGCCTTGATAGCTCAATTGGCATGGTACAGGTCACAAAAGTTGGTGTTAAACTTGGACTCTCGGGTTCGAATACCACCACCAGCTTAGTGCTTTTTCAGAAGTTTAGATACTTCAGCTTCTGAGGTGCAGCAATTAAAGACGTAAAACTTAGAATTAGGCAATGCGAGATGTAGGAAACAGTCAAGAATTATGTAGACAGAATTAGAGAGATACGAGAGCCGTAAATTCACCATGAAGGGCTTTTACTGGAACGAGCCTGGAGAAATTGTGACCTACTGAAAATTGGAACGAGAGCCGACATGAACACTAGTTCTAAGATCTATAACCTTTTTGAACCACTGGCAATGTATCAATCAAAGTTATTCATCAACAAAAACTGCGCCTTAGAAATTGTAAATCCATCATTCAAATACTTTAAAAATTTCTTCATAACAATTAAACCTCATATTCTAAAGGCAATGGCACAAGCTCCAAAAAAGAATAAAAGACTTTAAAAATTTTGTTCTTCTTTTTTTCTTTTTCATTAATTAATCATAAAAAATTGTTTCTTTTTTAATTTCTTTCATTTCTTCATTCCTCATTTTTCTATCATAAAAATTAATTTAATCCACACACGTATATGAAGCAATAACAGCAAAAACAACAACAATATGATGAATAATAATAAGAGGAAAGGAGCAGGCAGCTAACAACAAAAAAAACTTCTTTATTATATTGAAAGAAATGTTGTAAAACAAGTCAATGTTTTGTGTATTTTTTGTGTATTTTTTTTCATGTTCTACTGCTTCTTGTATGTTGCTCCTGCTGCTGCTACCACTGCTGATACTCAAAAGACTTCTTTTTATTATTAAGCAGTTGTTATTTGATTGGTAGCTACTGCTCGTTGTTTTATGATGATTTAAATTTTTTTATCTCGACGATTTAATCTTTAAAGATTATCTGTTTCGTGGCTTGTTCAGTTCTTCTTGTTAATTTTTTTGTTGCTTCTGTTATTGATCTTGTGCAGAATTGATTGGATATTGGGGAATGTTTTTGATTATTAAGATTAGATCTCGTTTTCGATTGAAATTCTGAATGATTTTTGAGTTTAATTATAATTGAGGAAGTTTTCTGGTTCCTGTTGTTGTTTTTGATGAGAGCCTAACTTAGAAGTTTTGGTGAATTTCAAGTGAGGTCGAATTTATTTTCCTTTAAAGATCTTTTTAATTAAAAGGAACCATTTGAGTTCAAATTCCATGTTGAATAGATTACTTAATGGTCATTTTAATGCTATCTAAAGTCAACAATGTCAATCGACCTTCATGCATCCCTTTTTGAAGCTTTTAATCTATAATTTTAAAAATATAATTCAATCCGATAATTTTAAACTCAAAACTCTAATTTGTTTGATTCAATTCAGTCATATCACAAATTAAGGCTAAGCAGGATTCAAGATAGACTTAGAATCCACTTCAAATCTTCTTTTTAAAATAAAACATAACCAGACATCAATTAAACAATTTTCTCACAGCACAGCATAACTCGCCAACTTTAGTAAATCCGACACAAACTTCTCATAAAGTAAGGCATCGAATGTATAATTTCCTAATTCAATTATCTCAAAAAACTGGTTTTATTGTTAATTTTTACGACAATTACAGAACCTAAGCTGTGTCTAATTGAAGTTTATAGTTTCAATATCGTAAAATGATAAAATTTATTGTTATCACAGTTATAATAAATGCTTTAACAAGCAATTGAGCTTATAATGTTTATGAGAACTAAATTTATTAAAGCTGAGTTGAAAAAAAGAACTGGAAATAAGAATGATATTGATATAGAGGTAATTAGAAGAACTGAAAAACGAGTTATTGACGTGATAAAATTTTATGATTAGATATCAGGCAGGATATATGTCTGTCTGCAGTTTTGTGTGGCACCTAGACATTATTGTAGTCTGATTTTGATTACTGGAGGGTTAGTGACATGCTATACATGATTTTCTCTATTGATATTTGGGTAATGTTGAGGACATAACAAATGTACTGTTCAGAACAATCCACAAAGTTCCTATCTTAATCAGCATAAGTAAATATGCTGCTACTCTAGCTAATTAACTTGGTTGTTAAATGTAATCTTTACACTTTCCTGTAATTGGATGACACTTTTATTCTATTCTCTGCTTATCACATGTAATGCCATCAACACATGGTTTTAATTTCTTATCTGACATAAGTAAATTTTCTATTTTATTTTAAGATGCGAAGAAATTTTTTAAACTTATTAAATTTTCAAAAAGAGTTAAGAAAGGAGTTCTGATTGACATAGCTCTAAAGCGCATTTTTCCAAAAATTAACAGCATATGCGATTTAATATTTATGAAGCTTCTCGGGTAAAGAAGGAGGTCAAAGATGAAAAATCAGCTTAAATCCACATCAAAACTTACCAACTTATTTACTGTAACCATGTTCTTATATGGAGCTTAAGTTACAACAAAAGGCCTTAAATCTGACTCTGTTGCTGCACATCAAAACTTAGTTGACCCTTAATCCCATACAAAAATACATTTGGTATCAGTCAGACGGACGAAAAAACATTCAAAACATGCTCTTTAGTAACTGCCTCTATGAAAAGTACTTAAAAAAGAAGAAGCACAAAGAAGAAATTCCATAACAAATGCAGATATGCAATCACATTAAGATTTTTTTTTTCTCTAAAATCCATTTACCATGACAAATTCAATTTTTCTATCTTTGCTTCTTCTAATGCTGAGTGATTAACCTTCATTTTCTTTTTTTCGTTGCGCTCTTTTGTGTGTTGGTGTATTGTGATTGCTGTTGCTGCTGCAGATCAAAAGTTCAATCACCCGTAGCTTAAAAAATTGTTTCTTAAAAAACTAAAGAATAGATAAAAGAAGATGGAGAAGTTGTGTTTGGTGCTCAACTCCTTATTTTTATTCACTTTCAGTCATCAATTCATTTTTCATTCTTTCTCACTCGCTTTTTAAAAGTCAAAAATAATGTTATGGCAAAAATTAACAACAACATTGTAAGCATAAATATGCCAAACAATGCATTGTAATTGTCATGCATGAATGTTTACAAGAATCTACTTCTTATTCAACATCTTTATGTCTCCTTATGTATTTGTCTCATTGTTTGGACTAAAAACATAGAAGTTGTATTGAAAACAGTAGCACGAACAGATGAAATTGTCTTTTGAATATGAGATGTAGATTGTAGATGGAAAAGTTGGCTGATAATTAATGATTGAAGTTTTTAACTTATTTAATAAGTTTGGTTTTTAAAAAATTTTTATAAAAAAAAAAGATTTATTCATTGAGTCTTATTATTTGGACGCAAAGTTTCTTGAAACAATTACTGAGCATCGCACATTCCGAGATCATTATCTTGAAATTTTAGAACCTCAAAGGTAACCTCTTGTATCAGTCACTAAGACAAAATTCATTCCTTAACCCTTTTATTATCCCACAAATCATTCTTTATAAAAGAATTGTTGACAATCAAAACAGAATTTAATGAAAAATTGCTATTAAATTGAGAATTATGTTCATTCAAGTTGAAATTTTCAGCATTTAATGTGACTTCAATGCACTTGTGGGTGTCAAATTAATGACATTCAATTGTTGAACTGCATTGAAAAAATACATAAAAAAATTTTTTATTGTCATTTATTGAACATCTGAGAGAACTTGAAGGTTTTGAAGCAGAAGAAATATTGTAGCAGAATAACGGTAATAAAGAAAGAAATAAAAAAAAATAATGAGAAATAAAAAAATTTCAATCAATTAATTCTCATAAGAAATTTAGAATTTACCGTTAATTGAGCATTTATTTCTGTTGAGCTTCATGTGGATTAAAAAAATATATTTTGTAAGATTTCTGTTGATATCAATGGCTGAAGTATGTCTTTGGAGTGAAGTGGATATTGTTTGAAGATTGTTTTTATTGGATAAGATTTGGTTTGAATGACTTGAGTAAATATTGTGGAATTATTTTGATAGATTTTTGTGGGGGTCTATAAACAATAGTGACCATTTAAAACATGATCTACATGTCACAAGATGATAGATTTAAGATTTTATCAGCTTTTCATTCGTTTACGATCATCATTTCAAATTTCTATTATCGAATCCTGTTTGGTTCCATTCGGCATATTAATGCCATATGTAGGGTCTTGTTACATCATTTTGATACTTAGTCTGATTGCCTAGTCAAGTAACTTAAAATTATGCTAGAGAATACATTTTTGCTCATGTTTTTAAATTCCATCATACTTCTTTTTGGACGTCCTTAGTAAACGCGCAGCAGAAGAATTATTCAATTTTTGCTAAATTTTCCAATTTGTTCAATCACAATCAACTTTAGAATGACGGAAAAGACTATCATGCACGACTTTAGTCACATCACAAAAGTACCAAAACTTGAAAAATATACAACTTTGTTTAAATGTTACTCCAAAGAAATCATTATCAACTATTGCTAAATTCGATTCATTTTCTGTCTAATTAATTCAATTCAAGCGGATGCTTGTTACTTAATAACAATCAAGTCAAATCACATGAACAAAGCACTTACGATTTTCTTGTTCTATTATCTTCTCATTCTTCTCTACAGGAGGATTTATATTATTGGATAAATCATCTCCTGACACAGTGAATATCCTGAAGTTGTTGAATATTTGATATCGACAGTGAGATTATACGGGGAGTAAAATTGCAACGCGCATCAGCGACACAATCCATAGAGTCATCTAAATTATTCGCATATCAATAAGTCAAAATTAATTAAAAAGGAATTTCCGGGGGAAGGTTCGGCTTTTAATTAAGATTGATGAACAATTCAATCAGCTTCATTAAATATTGAATTAATCAATGAAGCAATCATGAGATTTATCATTGTGAGTCTCATCGGAATTCCAGCGAGTGGAAAGAGCACAATTTCAATGAAAATTCATAAATTATCAAAAGAAAATTTACTCAACACGAATGTCATTGTGCTTAATTTTGACAAATTAATTCGAATTGATTTCGCAAACATTACTGACGGTGATTACAAAAAGTCTCGGGATGTCTGCTTCATCAAGATTGAAAATTTAATTGGAAAATTAAAGACTGAAAATTTTTCCAATTGGATGAAGATTATTGCATCGAATGAGTTGAAAATTCCACAAAATTCAATTAGCTTGAGTAGTGAAAACCTAGTGACATTGCTGATTATTGATGATAACATGTATTATCGCAGCATGAGGCAGAGAGCGAGACAAATTTGCAGAACATGTGATTGCAAACATTTTCAGATTTTCATGAAATCTTCATTAGCTGATGCCATTGCGAGAAATTCAAAAAGATGTTCAAATGTTAAAAGTTCTGTGATTAAAAAAATGTTCAGTGACCTCGAAGTGCCTGAAAATCATCGTACGATTTTTTTGGAAATTGAAAACTTTGACGAGGGAAAATTCCTTGCTGAACTTAAAGATCGAATTGATAATCCTGAGGTTTTAACGGAAGATCATCAAAAGGAGCCTCAAGAGCAGTCAATAATTCATGAAATGGATCTTATTACACGTAAGGAAATAGGAAGCAAAATTCAGGAAGTTAAAGGCAAAAAGAATATGAAGGAATATTCTGAGAAATTGAATTTTATGAGAAAAACATTTATGGAGGATGTAAGGAGCGGAAAGATAAAATTTGAGAATCTTGAAGGCTTGAAAGATGGATTTAGGAAATTTATTGATACTGATTGATTAGAATTATTTAATAAATAAATTTTTAAGGCAGTTAAAATGTTTTTACTTTTTCATGGCAAATTTTAAGTTTAACAAGACAGAAGAGCGTGTCCAGGAGGAGTTTTTTTGATCAGCTCCTGCGTCAACAAGAAAAATTCATCTTATTCAAATTCTTCTTATCCATTTTTAACTTGAATCACTTAGCATATTCGTTGCAGCTCATGGAATTTCAAATTAACGTCTAAAGCGGGCTCTTTTAAATGAAAGCGTCTGTCGAATTCCAATTTTAAGTTATTTATATGTCTCTAATTCTCAAATTTTCATTAAATCTAATCTACGTCCCCCAACTTCCAAACTTCAAACACAAAAGCTTCAAAATGCCACAGCAACAGCACAAAAACTCCGAAATTCCATAAAAAAAATCACCAATCCTCTACTATCTCCATCTAAAATACCACACAAAAAATGAAAAGAACCCTTGAACTTTATAAACCCTAAACCCTCGATTGACACTACAACCTCGTTGACAAAAAAAAATGTTGATTGATTTTTCACATTGGCTGCACAATAAATTTCCTATTTTTTCTAACATTTTATGTAGCACGAAAAAAAAAATTACACTTTTTCACCATCAAATAGACATCAAGTCACAAAGAACATAACACGAGAGAGATATCAAACAGAAACAATTTTTTTTTTTATTCAGGAAAAAAGTTTCTGCTTCTCATGTTGATGCATTGTATAAATATTCATCTATAAGTGTATTCACGTACATAAATCAAGGCAGCAGTTCTTCCCTTTCACATGTATGATGAATTGTCTACAACCTCACTTGCTGGCACTTGCGGCACTTTATGTAGACGCTTTAAGCATGTATGATTGTTGGGAAAAAAATATTATTGAACATGGAAAAATCAGATAGAGTAGAAAAAACGATGCAAACATAAAAAAGTTGTTTTTTTGGAGGCTGTGATGGTTGAGAGTGGATTAGACGCAGTTTTAAGGTTGGATGTGGTTTTTGGGTTTAAGACAGACACGTCGAAAATAAGAAACTCCTTTAGCAAGGTCCCTAAAATCTGGTCTTAATGCTAGTCCTGTAATAACAAGTGTTTATACTCTTTAGTTCCCAGTTCAATGAAAAATTAAAAGGATTCATCTAGGAAATCAAGCATCCAGATATCCTACGTGTGTCATTTCTTTGTATCTTTGGACAAAGCATCAATCCACATTCTACACATTCCTAGAAATTCCTCATATCCTCCTGAAAAAAAAATTCTCAATCACACCTTTATGACTAAAAAATGTTCCTGTAGAATATGAAAAAGGCAGCAAAAGGCACCACTCAGTCATGATTGTTATGCAATGCTTGCAACATTATTTTTTGTTGTCTCTAAAGCCATCGATTTCGTCGTTATATACCCTTGTGGTATTGTGCGTTATTTTATTTCTCTCCTTATATTTTTGCAATTCTGATCTATGCTTCCAAAACTCTTAACTGAAATAACAATTGAAAAAATGTTCTATGCTTTTTAGACAGTTTGAGTTTTTTTTTTCATGTCATCTATTATTAGACGATGAAAACGTTTGTTCTCGGCATTGTTGGCCATCAGGTGCATCATCGTTAAAATAGTTTTTCTAATCTCTAGACTCTTCTCTTTTTGATGTTTGCTTTTTTAATTTACATGCGTGAGTGCGTGTTTGTCGTCATTGACTGATTGAGGATCTTCCACTTAAAATGGAAAAATTGAAATTTTTTTCTGTTGTACTAGCGATAGAAGTGTGAGGGATTATTTACATTTAAGCTATCGATTGTTTTTTCAGAAGCCAATAAAGTTGAAAATAAATTACATTTAATGTTCATATTACATTAAGTGGATTAAATGCTTTGCAACATTGTATGGTATTTAAATTCAGAGTTGTCATTTTGAATTTATGCTGTTATGTGCCTCTATAGAGCAATAGGATTTGATAGTTTAGTGTTGAAGCTTGCGAACATTGAAGATTTTGAGTTCGAATCCTGCTTGAGTTTTATTATTCAAAGAAAAACGCGCCAAACTAAAGACTTAAATAGTTAAACTGTCACAAAGATGCAATAACACAGTAATGTATCGCGAGCCGTATATTGTGAAGCACTGGACGAGACAACGAATCGCTCAGCAATCTATTTCCAATAATAAACACAAATTCCAACTCTTCTTAATTCTTCAGACAGCATTTCACTTTAAATACTTTAAAAACACAGGCAAGCAAACAAGAAAATCCCCGCATGCTCACACAAAACTCATCAAAACTCTTGATTTCATTCACGATTTGAATAATTATCATTGAACAAATCCGCAATCCCAAATCCTTCTAATAAATCCTTACCAACAAAATTCAGAAAACCCCAAAAAAATGCCTAATATTTGAACATTCGAGAAATACATAAACACATAATACAAACACACATACACATGTGAGGAAAGACAAATAGAATATTTTTGAATCCTCAATTAGTAAAGCAAATAATTCATTTGGAAAATGTTTTGGAAAATTTATTATTCTTTCATTCTCAAATTTTTTTATGAATTTTTCTTTTACTCTTGAAAATACACAAATACAGACGCATAGGATGGTTAGAAAATTTTTATGGAAATAAAACACAAGTGTGAGGAATCCTTCAAAAAAAAAATTCAATTAAATTCAGAAAATGAAAATTTTCAAAGTAAACAAGACATTAATTTTGTATTTATGTTTCAATATTCAGGCTTTATGCATGTGTATAAGTGAAAAATGGAGAGAATCTGTCAAATATTAGCCAGCTGAGGATACAAATTTACTTTTTTTTATTATTTTTTTTTTCATCTCGTACAGACACGAACGAGAAAAAGGAAGGATAAATGAATGAAATCAAATTAAAGGATTGTGCATAAATAAAGATTATAAATTTTTGATTTATTTTGCAAATACACGAGCGGCTCTCAAAATTAATTTGTCAGTATTTTTATTTGTCTCGGGGATGTTGGAAGGGATTGTGCTGCTGGTATGTTTAGATTATTATAATCAGAATTTGTTTAGGCCAATTTGGATGAGTTATTTATAATTTATGCTACTGAATCTTATTAATCAATGATGATTTTCAGACTAAATTCTGAATGTGTTTATTGTTAAAGTCAGTTTTGAGTGACGAAGGCGCACTTCATTATGTTGTTGACTTGAACATTTTTTCAAGATTTTCATATTTTATCATTCAAATTTCCAAAAATTTATTCAATTTGGTTCGATTTTCATTCATTTCGCGATCTTCTGTCCATAACAGCTCTGAAATCTATCATTTATTGAGATTTCAAAGACATCTCTGACTCGTGGCTTGATGCCTCATATTTTTTGAATCAGTGATCCTTAAACCATCTTTACCGCACTCTAACGTGAACAAGGAGAAAGATCATTAAATTGTCTTGAAATTAAACAGCTTTTTTAAGCTAAAGGGGAGAGGGGTTGTTTACAAAATGAATTGAAAAAAATACTAGTGTTCTTTTCACCCCCCCCCCCCCCCCTCCCTCTGTTGATAGCCGGGGGGGGGGGGGAATTTGGGGGACAAATCCCCAACGTAAACAGAGATTTCTTTATTTTGCTAGGGTTTTTATGAGAAAATCACAAAGAAAATTTTTGCCCCACCCTCTTCAAATTCTGGTTACGCCCTAAGAAAAACAGACAGGCAAAGTGTCGACATAAAATAATTTTTCCATAAAAAATGCTCTAAAAACTCATCATATAAATTTATCTATGACGATTTTGTTCCAGTTCCCAAACATATCAATAAACATAAATTAAGTCCAATTTATGCTGATCATATTATTCCATCAACATACTTAAAACTCTTCAATTTATTTTTCAAAAATAAACAACTTCCTTATCTTTCAGCTGTCAATAAATTTATCTGTCAATAGCTTTTTAAAATTGAATAATTGGAGTTTGACTACCTATAATTAGAATTAGGTCATCAATTCATTCCCTTCAAGCCTCGCCTGTAGTCAAGTTAAAAAATCATTTCAAATTGAAAATTAAATGCTACACAGTGTGCACTGAATGTAACTCCAAGTGCTATTTTTTTTCCTTCCTTTTAATTTTGATTTGAACTTTTTTTTGTGCTGCAAAAAAAACTTCTTGCTTCTGCATTTTTTTACTGCTGTGCCATCACACGAGAATTCAATTAAATTGCATTAAAAATTACTTACGGTGAATTATTGCATGAGAGTGTAGATGGAAAGCTGCTTTGTGGTGCCTGAAGTGTTGACTGATTCGTCAAAGAGCATTAAATTGTGCCCTAATTGTTATTTGCCTTTCCAGTTCTCTTAATTCTACAATTTTCTTGCTTTGTTTTTATTTGATAGGGCAAGTGTGGCTTCCAGCACAAATGCTAGATTTCTCTCAGTGGAATTGAGTGCAGTTTATAGCGTGAAAATGGTGTGATTTAAAAATATATAAAATTTCAAGGTACTTGAGAATGTGAGGATGCTTGTGTTGTTGTGGATTTTTTGAGTGAAAAAACAAAATCTTGAATATTTTCTGCACGGCATGCAATTAATTAAGAATGGCTTTATTGTTAATTTATTTTGTAGAAGCTTTAAATCAACTCTGCACTGAACTAGAACTAATAAAATGGGAGAACCAATTTTTGCTTAATAAAGTAGCAACTGAACCCTTAACTCCTGAACAGCCCACTATATACTCATTGTTGTTTTGTTTTATGGTAATTTGGGATCATTAGAGTGGAATCTAAAATCCTTTGAGATTCGGCACTACTCTGGCACAACTAGTTAAGTACTATTAAGTTCTAAGTCTGCTCACATAATCCAGAAACCTAATAATTGATTTATTTTTTTTTGCTCCACCAAATCACTCATTTGAATTAATCAAAGATTCAAAACAAACAAATTTATGTTTATGCTTCCAATTAATCTCAACGATCCACAAGAAGACAGAAAAGTAATAAAAAACGAGCTCATTCTAACATTTTTTTTATTATTAAAGCAAAAGCTATAAAGACGTGCATATCGAAATGC